CTTCCCACTTTGACAATTTTCTTCTTATTCTTTTCAGTAATTATTACAAGCAAAGGGGTTACTAGCAAATTGTTCCCGGCATTTTAGTTGACTTTTACAACACGCATGGCTTACAGAGGAAAGATTCTTATTCCACTTCCCCATGGATATAAAAGGAAAAGTAATAAGACCAAGAACTATTAAGATAAAATCAAAGAAAACTCAGATGAGTGTGTATAAATAAACATGTACATGTATGTGTAGTGTGACTTAAGTGTAAGTAGAAGTAGCAAGATGTATCTGTAATCTTGCATATTTATGAGACAGACAAAAGACACCAGCAATCCTACCATCATGTAAAACAATTACAGGTTTCCATTTCACACTCACTTGGCAGGACGGTAGTACCTCCCTGGGTGGTTGCTGTCTACCAACCTACTACCTTATTATTATACATATATTATTATTATTATTATTGCATTATATTATTTTACTATTATTATTATATGTATTATTATTATTATACATATTATTATTATTATTATTACAATGTAAATAATTTGTAATTTTTATTCACACACAAAATATAATATTTATTGTTATGCCTTATTGCAATAATTGTATAAATAATGTCAACCCATTCACTACTGCATATTGGAATGGACAGTGACGTCATTTGTTTACTCCTGAACATAGCCAAGCAATGGAACATTTCTCCTACGTTGAGCTCAATTTCAAGATACTTTTTGTCGTGAAAGCAATCGAAATCATATCTATTTCTGTAATATATCTTCCATTCTATCAAATGAGACCAAAAAAAAACGAGAATACAATCATAAAAACCATACGAAAATACCGCTAAGGGGTGGCTAATTGCTGAGAAGTGAACTCCATTATTTATGCTCTGATTTCTTTCATTTTTGGTGCAAGTTCAGAAACATCTCTCCATCATACATTGCCCAAGTCTCAATAAGATAGTCCAACAAACAAATGAGATACAATTCCCTAGATCAAGAGCAAGGGCCCCTCACTAGCGTCAAGGAACCTGCCTTGAGGTCTGCTTGTTTATGGAAATTTTGCTCATGTATGGAAGCAAAAAATCGACCCATCGACTGCTCGTATTTGGAAAAACTCGCACGTGGATGCGCTCACAAGTAGAGGTTCCACTGTATATACATACAAAGTATTTATAGGTCTCAGCAATGTTTTAGACATGCTGGAGTATACATAAAACTCCTTGAGGCATGGTGGTAAGACGAATGTTAATAAACTGCTGATATTGCAGCAGTGGAGTGACACTTGATGATCGTGCATTACTGCAGGGAACCCTGGCTTCATTTGTTTTCATTGTTACACATAAAAATGTCTGTCTATCTATCTGTCTGTCTAGCTCTGCTTATCTATCTAGCTCTGCTTATCTGTCTTTCTGTTTGCCTGTGTGTGTGTCTTTCTCCCTCTGCTTGTCTCTGTGTCTCAGGGAGCCGCATAAACCTGTTGGTTTACGAGCCGCTCCCTGAATCCAGAGCAAGTGAAAATGCATATTACTTGCATCATGCTTATGATGCTTTATATCTACAAGCACTGTAAAGCACTTTGCCTGGAATTTTTGCGTTATCCTAGGTAATTTACACTAAGTATAATAAGTGTACTTATGTGTACCTGTAAGAGACAGAGATTTAGATGGACAGAGCTATAGACAGAGAAATAGACAGAGAAATACACAGACAGACAGAGATACAGACAGAGACAGTTACTGATAGACAGCCAAAGTCAGTCAGCCAGCTAACCAGCCACCCAGCCAGCCTGCCGAATACGTATGACATTCTGGCAGGATGACACTACAAAGGGTATCAGAAATGAAAGGATGTTGCACAAATGTTGTGCATGGGTTATTATCAAGGTTTTTGATATTTCCATGACCACTTGTGGCCACATTCATCTCAAAGCCACTAAACTCTGGGTCTACATCACTTTCCTCTTAAAAGGGAAGTGTTAATACAACACGATATCAGCGAATCCTTAGTGTTTGCCATGCTATTTGCTCAAGCTGGCACTCAATTGAATTGGTGCTCTCACAAGGTACTAAATGGTCCCAGATTTTTTTAATACTGTGCACACTGAGTGTTAAGACCCATTCTACACTGACCAGGCATCTCAGGCCAATCATGCCAATTTTGAAGGAATGAAAAATAAAACACTGATCTATGTTCAGAGTGCTACGCATGTGAACATAGATCTACGTGTGGACAGTTTAAAGGTTAATGAGAGGTCATTTAACAAGTGGTTTGTAAATAAGAGTTCTGTTAATGAGAGGTTTTACTGTAACAGCAAAGAAATCTCTAAAGAAGCATTTAAAGTCAATAATGCTTTAAATTATGTATTCATTAATACATCAAAAGTTGATAAAGTAGTACTATTTACATTACTTTGTGTTGTTAAAACATCAGCCGATTCCCACCAAAGCAGGGTGGCCCGAAAAAGAAAAAAACTTTCATCATCATTCACTCCATCACTGTCTTGCAAGAGGGGTGCTTTACACTACAATTATAAAACTATAACATTAACACCCCTCCTTCAGAGTGTAGACATTGTACTTCTGTTATGGGACCATGGGACCCAACACATACTAATGTATTTAAGTAACAGTTACTTATATTGAACTGATAGGGACACAGCACTAAATGGTCCTAAGGGCAGATCACCCTTAGGGGCTGAGAGACAGCTGGGTCAAGCCTGTTTTTCTCAATATAATAGGTTGTACTATAGACACGCACACACATTTAAATAAGTAGTTTATAAAGTTGTATTTCTTTTGTAAAAGTAAAAAAAGGTGTGGAAGAATTGTGGTAACTAGAGAATTGTGCTTGGCAACAGTCTTTTGTTTATTCTGGTGGGTGTGGGAGGAGCTTAGCTAGGCCCCTCCCTCTCTCTCTCTCTCCTTGGTGGCTTCAAGCTGGTAGGACCTCTGGGTCCTCCTTTTTTATTTTTTTGGGCATTATGTGTACCCCAGAGGTGAGTTTTATACCTTAAGTTGTAGCCATCATACCCAGGGTGACTAAAGTGTGTCAAAACACTGGTTAGTCCAGAGGTTAGTCAAGAGGAAAGAAGGGTTAATTATTTCAGAGGCAGCATGTGGGCTGTCCTAGGGAAGCAGCTAAGGGGTGTGCAGGCTTATGTTTTGAATAGGAGAGTGCCAAAATTGTATATTCTGTATATATCTATTTAGAATATATCCCTATTTTTGTAACAGTAGTTTAAATAACCTATTGGAAGGGCTAGTGAAAGGATTTCAGAGACATTGAGGATGATCAATCATGAATGCAAGCATTACCCTAGACTGATAAGGCCTTTATGTAAAAGCTACCCCCACACTAAAACATGTAGTAAGAACCATACCATCAAGGATAAAAGGGGCAACAAAGTAACAACTTCCCATCTCTAGGACTCAAGTCTGGCCTGCCAGTTTCCCTGAATCCCTTCATAAATGTTACTTTGCTCACACTCCAACAGCACGTCAAGTATTAAAAACCATTTATCTCCATACACTCCTGTCAAATACGCTCACGTACGCTTGCTGGAAGTCCAAGCCCCTCGCACACAAAACCTCATTTACCTCCTCCCTCCAACCCTACCTAGGTTGACCCTAACCCCGCCTTCCCTCCACTACAGATTTATACATTCTCGAAGTCATTCTGTTTCGTTTCATTCTCTCTGCATGTCCAAACCACCTCAACAACCCCTCTTCAGCCCTCTGGATAATAGTTTTGGTAATCCCACATCTTCTCCCAATTTCCAAACTATGAATTCTCTGCATTATATTCACACCACACATTGCCCTCAGACATGACATCTCCACTGCCTCCAGCCTTCTCCTCGTTGCAACATTCATCACCCATGCTTCACATCCATACAAGAGTGTTGGTACAACTATACTCTCATGCATTCCCCTTTCTGCTTCCATGGACAAAGTTCTTTGTCTCCACAGACTCCCAAGTGCACCGCTCACCCTTTTCCCCTCATCAATTTTGTGATTCACCTCATCCTTCATAGACCCATCTGCTTACACGTCCACTCCTAAATATCTGAATACATTCACCTCCTCCATACTCTCTCCCTCCAATCTGATATCCAATCTTTCATCACCTAATCTTTTGTTATCCTCATAACCTTACTCTTTCCTATATTCGCTTTTAATTTTCTTCTTTTACATACCCTACCAAATTCATCCACCAATCTCTGCAACTTCTCTTCAGAATCTCCCAAAAGCACAGTGTCATCAGCAAAGAGCAACTGTGACAACTCCCACTCTGTGTCTGATTATTTATCTTCTAACTCCACACCTTTTGCCAAGACCCTCGCATTCACTTCTCTTGTAACCCCATCTATAAATATATTGAACAACCACGGTGACATCACATATCCTTGCCTAAGGCCTACTTTTACTGGGAAATAATCTCCCTCTTTCCTACATACTCTAACCTGAGCCTCATTATCCTCGTAAAAAGTCTTCACTGCTTTCAGTAGCCTACCTCCTATATCATACACCTGCAACATCTGCCACACTGCCTCCCTATCCACCCTGTCACATGCCTTTTCCGAATCCATAAATGCCAAAAAACCTCTTTAGCCTTATCTTAATACTGTTTACCTATATATTTCACTGCAAACACTTGGTCTACACACCCCCTACCTTTCCTAAAGCCTCCTTGTTCATCTGCTATCCTACTCTCCATCTTACTCTTAATTCTTTCAATAATAACTCTAACATACACTTTACCAGGAATACTCAATAGATTTATTCCCCTATAATTTTTGCACTCTCTTTTATCCCCTTTACCTTTATACAAAGGAACTATTTACATATAACTTCTGTATGATATAAACTCTATATCCAGTCTCATAAATCTGTATCAAAAATTATAATTTCTGTTGCTTTTGGCCTGTGATAAAAAAGTTAAGATTAAATACCTAACTGAATGCAAAAAATATATACTGTTATGAGAAACTGTTTATGCACCTACTTGGTTTTCTTTTCAGAGAGGGTAACTACTGTTGTGAGGTGGTCAAATAATTCTCCATGTTCACAAAGTTCAAACACTAAAAATATGAACGTTGATGATTCAAAGACATCGTGAAGTTCAACTGAAAAACAATAATAAAATAATATTAATTATACATGGCAAATATCATTATTTACATATGTATTCACAAAAATTATTTTTGCTATGCAGAACTCTATTGTCAAACATTAAATTATAAAATGCCTATCTGTAAACTTAGGCACTGACAATAAAATACTCTACAAAATACAATGATTCACACTGAACTAAATAACTACACTTTTACACAGTAATATACAGTATTTTTGGTTTTACCATACATGGTACTTGGTGCTTACTAATATACGGATGCCCAGCTACCATGCGCAATACTTCTATTTCCCGAATAGTTGCTTCATATACTCCTTCATCAGAGGAGTCACTCAGATCAATAATTTTGGCTGCAAACTGTTGTCCAGTTTCCTTTTCTGCAACAGAAGTTACAAATGAACACAGTAAACACCTGATATAATGAACTTTTAAAATTAAAAGCAAAACTCACTTTTAAGTCCTTTATTTTCAATGTTTATTGCAAAACATCTGTAAATTTTGTGTACAGTATTATATTAAGTGTACAGTAGCACATTTTATTGTTCTTTCTAAGATGGAATATTGGTTTTCACTAGCGGCTCCTTTCAAGGCAAAACTGCAGACCTGGGGAACATACAACAAACTTTCACTGCATGTATAAGTAACAAACTGCATCTAAATTACTGGGAATGGATGAAGTCCCTTGGAATGCAGGCAAGAAAGATACATGACAATACAGCAGGGCCCCACTTACATGGCAGGTTAGGTTCCAGGCTACTGCCGGAAAGCGGACATTGCCAGAAAGCAGAACACCATTTGTTTCCACTTACAAATGTCAATGTAACAGAACAAGGCATTAAACCTTAAACTGTCCAAATGTAGATCTATGTTCATTCGCGTGGTGCTCCAAATATTTTGAGAAATATAAAAATCATTTTTTTCTTTTAACCCCTTGACTGTCACAACCCCCAATCCTGAGGTGTCTCCTTGTGTCGCAAAATTTAAAAAAAAAAGAAAAAAAAAAATTATTTTTTTCTTATGAAATCATAGAGAATCTTTTCCCGGTTGTAATGACACCAAAAAAACGAAATTTGATGGAAAACTGACGGAATTATGCTCTCGCGAAGTTAGCGACCTTGGCGATATTTACAAATCGGCGATTTCGCCCACTTTGAGCCCTATTTTCGGCTAATTCCAGTGTTCCAGTCGACCAAACTCATAGCGATTTCTTTAGAACTCCATTTTTTCTATCGATTGAGTACAAGAAACTGCCCATTTACCGATTTCAACTACCCAATAATGTGGTCAGAAATTTGCAATTTGGCCAATTTCACGAAAATTAAAAAATATGACAATTTCAAAATAAGGTCCAGAATAAACAATGCAGACATTCTTGGCTCTAAAATAACATTTTCTTTGTTCATCAGTCATGTCTCAAGGCCCCTCTGATATTACTCTTGTTTTCTATTTTGAATTTTTATTCAAACAAAAAATAGAAGACTTACTATTATGCAGACTACTGCAATATTGTAATAATTGTATAAATAACATCAACCCATTCATAACTGCATATTAGAATGGCTAGTTGGACATTTATTGGACAATGACATCATTTGTTTACTTTTGAACATTGGCAAAAATCAAACATTTCCCCTACTTTGAGCTCGATTTCCAGGCTCTTTTCATAGCAAAATCAATCAAAATCACCTCTATTTCTATGATGTGTTTTCCATTTTATCAGTGAGACCAAGAAAACGAGAATACAACCATAAATATTACACGAAAATAGACCACAAAGTCAGCATTTTAATTAAAAAAAATGGTCAGAGGTTTTTTTTCTCATTATGCACTGCATGCTCCAGGATTTTTTTTATATGGTGCACACTGACCACACAGACCCATTCTCTCACATCTGGGCCTACCAGCTTTCTCCTGCTTGATTTGAAACCGCTAGAATTTATGAGTATATATACGTCAAACACGGTACCTCATAAGGCGTATATACAGTGGACCCCTGCTTAACGATCACCTCCCAATGCGACCAATTATGTAAGTGTATTTATGTAAGTGCGTTTGTACGTGTATGTTTAGGGGTCTGAAATGGACTAATCTACTTCACAATATTCCTTATGGGAACAAATTCGGTCAGTAGGGCCCTAAACATCTCGGGAATAAAAAAAAATATCGTTAAGGGGGGGGCCCCCCACTTTACGGCCCGACAGTCAAAGGGTTTTTTAAAATGAAGAAAAACATTTTTTCACATGTTACAGGATTAAAAAAAATTTTTAGGGTCAGTACTTCCCAAAAGATAAAAGACCATGAAGTTGGGTCTGATACTCACTGTCGGCAACATGACTCATGCCATTTGCAAAAAGTGTTCCAATATATTTTTATTCCGTTTTTTTTTTAAAATTTATATATTTTTTTATGTTCTGATAAATTTCAATTTTTAAAAACTTGTAATTTTCATAGCCAAAACTTTGTTCTGACACTAATTTAGGGACTGAAATAGTGCTCAAATGTACAAGCACATTGACAGGGGAACATTACACCCGCTGGGTTATTTATTTGTCTAGAAATATTACAAAATATTTATAGGTCCAAGCAATGTTTTAGATACCCTGGCATATACCTTGAAGCATGGTGTTATGAAAGGCATCCCTATACTGTTGATAGCCTAGTGACATTTGATAAATGCCCACTGCTCCAGCTAACCCTCGCTGTATTTGTTATCACTGTTACACACAAACATGTCTTGTCTCTGTCTATTTATCTGTCTATCTGTCTGCCTATCTGTCAATCTGTCTCTGTCTCTGCTTATCTATCTTTCTGTCTGCCTGGAGTATACATATATCACACTCCTTGAAGAACCGTGTAATGGCATCTGTTATCAGCTTGGTGACATTTGATAAATGGGCGCTCGGGGAACCCTGGCTTTATTTTTCACTGATACACACAAACATGTTTCTATCTGTCTGTCTATCTATCTGTCTATCTGTCTATCTTTGCCTGGAATTTTTGGGTTATCCTAGGAAATTTACACTGTGTATAATAACTGTACTTATGTGTACATGTGAGACAAAGATATAGACAGAGATATAGACAGACAGATACAGGAGGGCCCCACTTATACGGCGGGTTAGGTTCCAGGCTACCACCGTAAAGCGGAAACCGCCGTAAAGTGGAACACCCTTTTTTTTTCCACTTACAAATGCATACAAACACTAGATAACAAGTTTACACTAACATATATTATGTTAGCAATAGAACCAGGCATCAAAAAACAATAAAAAAGTACAATACACACATAGTGCACTCATTACTTACCTTAAAATATTTATAGTCTTAATCTAGGGTGAGACAAGTAGTATTTATTGAAGAAATAAGTGTGGTAGGGATGGTAGTCAGCCAGGCTTACCATACCAGGCCACCCCACCCACACATACTATTCTATGATATTTTAAGCATCCCAGAGCGATAAAATGTATATACATTCACTCATTACTTACCTTAAAATATAGGGTGAGATGAGTAGTATTTAAATTTTAAAAAATCAAGTGTGGTATGTATGTAGTCAGCCAGGCTACCATTACCAGGCAACCCACCCACACATACTATTCTATGATATTTAAGCATCCAGAGCGATAAAATGTATATACAGTTCACTCATTACTTACCTTAAAATATAGGGTGAGTGAGTAGTATTTATTGGGAAAAAATCAAGTGTGGTATGTATTTGGGAGTCAGCCAGGCTACCTAACAGAGAGAAAGAATGAGTGCATGAGAGAGGACAGGCGCAGAGTTATGTAAACAAACCAGGCGAAGGGTTTTAAGTTTTGTAAACAGTGTACACGTTGGTTTTGTGTACAAGTTAACATTGTGTACAGGTTGTCTCTACATTGATACGGGAGAATAAAATAAAGAACACTCCCATTCTCAAGTAAAATCATTTTTTAGAAGAAATGATGCTCTGAGTGAAGGCAATGGAAGAAAGTCACTCTGACTTTTTGGGTTTCCCTAGGTTCTCTACACATATTTGTTATTATTTATGTTATGTATCGTGTTTTTAATAATTTTGAAAAAAATATCCGGTGGATTAATAAAAAAGTGTATATTAACGTAATAAAAACTTTTTAATGATCACCGAGCTCGGGACAGCGAAAACAAAAAAACTAAACAGGTTTGTGGACGATCACTCGGTGGGGCGAAAAGACGGAATTAAAATTTACGTTCCATTTTAGTTATTCATGTCATTTTGTAAGGTTTGTGAAAATTTTTATTTTATAATATTTTTATTATTATTATAATAATTAAACACGAAAAATATCTTACAGTGTACAATTTAGTACAGAATTAAGCTATAAAATGAAGGCATACGAAAGGAATATTTTTTCTACAGTTATCCCTAGTAACAGGTGGGGGGTAGAAAAAACGTATTTTTCCCGACATTCTACAAACCCTTTTTGGTAAAAATCTCATATTATTTGTATAAATTTTTTTACTGGGGGTGCATGTTCATGTTTGTGTTTTTACATAATGGTTTTTTTATAAAATTTTGAAAAAAATATCATAGATAATTAAGGGAAATGTCTATATTTAAAGTAAAAATCGACATTAATGCCCCAAGAGTTATTTTTTTACTATTTTATTATTTTTATTTTTTATTATTATTTTTTATTTTTATTAGCAAACAAGAGTGAGGACTCTTAGTGATTTTTTTAAAGTTATACATGCCAGCACGTGTTAAGTTTATTAAAGGGAAGGTGTACACAAGTTTAATTATCAAATACAATACATATAAAATAACAATAATTTAAAACACTTGAAATTTTTGGAAAAATTTCCAACATAATAAGGAGATTTGCCAGGGAGAATGGAAACAAACTTGGGGGGTCGCTGTGACCGTATTAAAAGACAGGTGGGGGGAGCCGTTTTTTAGGGGTTTTGGGATAATTTTAAATGTCTTATTTTGCGGGCGCCTTTTAAAGCGAAAAACCCATAAAGCGGGGGGGCCCCGCTGTATATAGACAAGAAAATAGATAGGCAGAGATATAGACAACAGAGATATAGACAAGAAACAGCCAGAGAAGCCAAAGCAAGCAGCCAGCACCTGCCCCCAAATACATAGAACTAAGAAAGAAGGAACCCTGCGCAGGCCCCACTGGCCCATGCAAGGGGTACATGTCACTCCCCCCCCGCTAAGACCCATGACCCCTTAATAGGTCACATCCATTGAAGGAAGGGGATACTCAGGGCCCATGCAAACTAGTTTAGATCCAACTCCACCCCCCCCCACTCACTCGGGTATTTATCTAACCTGTTTTTACTTTCCTCTTAAAATGGGAGTGTTAATGCGACATGGCATCAGTGAATCCCTGGTGTTTGCCACGCTATTTGC